GTGTGTGTGTGTGTGTGTGTGTGTGTGTGTGTGTGTGTGTGTGTGTGAAATGTTCTGCTCTGCATGATATCTCCCTAGCCAAGCTGCACTTGCCTCTAAAGGAAAGAAATGACTGACAGGCAGAAAATGACACAAAACAAAAAGAGGATAAGGATTATTWCTTTATTCTCACATGGATAATTTATATTTATTGAAAGGGGTCCGATTCAGGTATACAGTTTTTTTTTTTCAAATGTATCCCTCATCTTCAGTTGCAGGTAGGCTGAGTTGTTAAATGAGTTACAGGATTATAAGGCCCCCACATTTGATGGATTAGAGATCCCAGATTAAGCCAGCATCTTGAATGGTTTTGCAATGAAATTCATTTATACATTTCAGATTGTTTTAATTAAAACAATACACATTCTTTTGAAGAGGACAGTTGTYTTAGTTTGTCTGATTTTAAACAGTTCGGTGTTTAGTACTGTAATTTGCTTGTTTGTACATTTGCTGACAAACCAGAAATCCTCTGGACCAGATTATGATTTAAACCATAATTTCTTTACTCTGTTACTATAGATCTAGGCTTGCCACATTCCAAATTCTTTTTGGAAGACATTGTTGTGGCTAAAATACATAAATTAGTGCCCATTACAGCAGGGGTGTCTCTAGGTTTTAAGGACAAGGGGGGCTTAGCCCCAAGGAGACGCACATAATTTTGTATATTAAATTTGTATTGTGTGTGTGTGTGTGTATATATATATATATATATAAGTTAAACAAATGAGTGGCTATGAAAGTCTSCAGTGAAATAAGTCAAAGCAAATACAAAAAGTTTATTGTGTAATTCTAATTAGTGGTTATAAATAAGCTCAGCACTGCATTTTGCTGAGTCATCTCAGCCTTTCATTCTTCATTTTTCTTCAGAACCACGCTGTTATAAGAGTTTGTCTCTTCTGGGCTGACATCCAGGTGYAACAGGCAGGAGAGGTGAACAGGTAAAACTATTCTCCCAATTTATCACTCAGAATGTTTCCGTTAAAATTCAAATGGAGAAAACCCTTGTTTCCTCAGCTGTTTAAAGTTTCACATTTTTCTTTTTATTGTCATTAAATTGAATATTCTGTTGCCGGCCAAATGAAACACAGTTTATTTTTACTGAAAACAATCATTACTTTCTGGAAATKAACCTGCTGATAGTGGTAGGACTGAAGCAAAAATATGGGTGAACCCTTTCACACCACACTGACTCACTTGTCTAAAAAAGCACAGAGAAAAATASATTAAAACAGCTCGGCAAATTTCAACAAATGTCTTCACCATGCAAAAGACTGAAAGGGGAAATAACTGTTCTCTGAGGACTGCCCATGGCTTATCATTTTTTTTTGTCACTTCAGTAGAAAACGAAACCAAATATTCGTTTATTTAGTTTATTTATT